ACCTGCGGGAATCACAGGGCAAGGCCAGGAACTACAGCAAGGAAGGGCCCTCATGGCAGGTTCTCTCTCATCGTATCTAAGTTCACAAGCTGAAAAAAAAGGGAAACCTGCCCAGAAAGCAGCCAGTCCAGGTATCTGCCTCTCACAAACCATTACCAAATCCCTCTCCACAGCAGCTTGGCGCTGTTTGCTGACACAACAGGGCAAGGTCCAAACGCCCTCTCTGCTTTTCATGTAGTGCCCTGGTTATCAGCACAGCGGTTAGGCTTGTAGACTCATGCTCTGGGTCCAGTTTGGATAGATCTGACATTCCGGTCGGGAAACTCGGAGGAGGGGAAAGTCAGGCCAAACAGAAAACTGGAAGTTTTACAAAATTCGGACCCTTCTCTAGCACAGTCAATTTCTGCAGATTCTGACCTAGTAGGAAAAGTGTTCTAGGCGGAGTCTCACAACCCACTAAGTCAATACAGAGGGGCACAGCATCCTACACAATCAAACCCTGGCGTTGGAATTATAATGGTCATGCCTGAAAAGGCAGCAGAGTGGTCCCTCTCCTCAGTGAGCATCCCCAGGTATCCACGTACATGTGTTCAGTCACTAGTTAAAGCCCACTTGTGCGCTGTGGATTGCCACCAAAGACAGGTTTCACTATTCCCTTCCGTCCTCAAAGGGGTATAGAGTGACTTTCATCTCCCCCAGCTTAGCTTAAATCAAATCAATTGAAAGTCAGAGTAAGCCGCACATCCATGTTATTGGGGGGAACATTCTGGTAGACACCAATAAAACTTCAGAAGCAATCAACTACAGTACAGGATTTAAATCTGTTTGTTTATTCCTCACATCAAGTATTTAAGGTAACAATGTCCCAAAATTAGTCCCCCAATTAAATAATACATAAAACACCTTTTTCACCTATAAAAGGCCAGTTAACCTGTTAAAAAAAAATCATCCAAGTCACTTTCCTTCTTTAGACTAATGTCCAGTGGAAGATACATGGGGCCAGCTCTGCTCCTGTTTACTTCCATATAAATCTAGAATGATTCCATTGACTTCAATAAAGTACTATGCGTGTAAATCTGGAGCAGAATTTGGGCCCAAGTCCATATACATTTTGTTGGTCTCTATAGCGATAATTTAAATGGTTAATTCATCAGGCCTTAACAGATTACAAAGATTTGCATAACACCATCACCGCTGTTATGGGAGTAAACATTTAAATTAGTAGGAAGAGTTTGAATAAGTGACCTGCTCTTAATTTAGAGACAAACAGAAAGAAATGTAAATACATAACAGACTCAGGCCTGGTTTACATTACAGTTATGGTCGATGTAAGGCAGTTTACGTCGACCTAATTATGTCAGTGTGTACACTATAATGCTGCTTCTGCCCAAGTAAGTGGCCTGCTACACTGACACAACTACTCCACGAACGGCGTAGCGCATATGTCGATGTAGTTGGGGTGACGCAGTGTCCGTGTAGACTTTACTTACATCGCCTTTTGACTGTGAGCCCACGCATGGCTGTCAGCGGGGGGCAGGGGAGAGCGGGCACAGCTGTGAACTTCAGGGCTACCAGGCTCCAGCTGTCAGTGTCTCTGACAGGGCTACCAGGCTCCAGCTGTCAGTGTCTCTCAATGCTTCAGTCGGTGGAAGCGCTCCTGGTGAAGATGCGCATCACTGACAGAAGGAGCAAGTGTGGACCTGAACCACCGCTTTAATTACCACGGTGGCTGTACATCAACTTAACGTAAGTTGACTTAATTTTGTAGTGTAGACATGCCCTCTATCTACTTGCACAGCTCCCCGGATGAGCTGTGCTAAAAGACAATGCTAGCTAATGCGCTCACTTCAAGTACCTGAACTATCAACTGTTTCCCACTCAGTGCTGAAATTCAGCATCACATACGCAGCCACCCACAATAAATGACTTTACTAAATCACATTATTACATTTGTATTTTCAATTTGCTTGTAACCATGTTCCCTCAAAGCAAATTTAACGTACAGAATACCTCGTGATCTGGAAGCGGGGTGGTGTTGGTCCCCCATATATAGACTCTTACATGCTATGACACTACAGTAGAACCTCAGAGTTATGAACACCTCAGGAATGGAGGGTGTTCGTAACTCTGAACAAAACTTTATGGTTCTTTCAAAAGTTTACAACTGAATATTGATTTAATACAGCTTTGAAACTTTATTATGCAGAAGAAAAATGCTGCTTTTAACCATCTTAATTTAAATGAAACTAGCACAGAAAAAGTTTCCTTACCCTGTCAAATCTTTTTTAAAACTTCCCCTTTATTTTTTTATTAGTTTACTTTTAACCCAGTACTGTACTGTATTTGGGTTTTTTTGTCTCTGCTGCTGCCTGATGGTGTACTTCCGGTTCCAAATGTGGTGTGTGGTTGACCGGCCAGTTCATAACTCTGGTGTTCGTAACTCTGAGGTTCTACTGTATTATCTACCTTCTAGGTTCTGTTTAAAGCCTTGTCTACACAGGAAAGTTTTACCCAGGTATAACTCCCGGTGTGGACACACATACTAAAATAAGAGTGGCTTTTTTTCAATTTAGCTTAAATCCCTTCCCAAGTGATATAAGCTAAATTTAAATAAAAGGCACTCTCATACCAGAATAAGTGTGTCCACAGAGAGAGTTATACTGGGATTAAATTCTCACCTTAGGTTATACTGAACGAACACACATACGTTGACAAGGGCTAAGTCATGAGCCACAAAGACTCTCAGCAGCAAAGTTCTCAAGTGACCTGAATTACAACATAAAATTCCACCAAAGAATTTCTCCAAACACCAGTCGAGGATCAGAGAAAACATTTCCCCACTTACCCAGCTACTCTGTCCCTCCCATTCCCCCCCACCCTGACACCTAATGCTCTTTTCCACTGCTCAGCAGCCACCAAATCACCCCAGATGCAGCGAGCCGCTTTCATACAGCAGAAACATCACTGCAGCACCATTGGGAGACCCCAGAAGGGAAAAACGTTAACATGTAGACTATAGTACACTCTTGTTCTCCCGTTGCCCTTCTCTGGCACCTCCAAGGATCTCACAGCACTTGTCAGAGATTAATGAGGCCTTGCAGCTCCTGTGTGAGGTAGGTAAATATCAAAATCCCCATTCTACAGTTGAGGAAATTGAAGCACAGAGAAATTAAATTATTAGTCCATGGTCAGAACTGGGTACAGAACCCAGGTGTCCTGACTGCCCACCCCTACTCTACACAATAGATAAGGAATGCTTAAGGCACATTGCTCTCAGGAGGGACATGACCAATTTTCATCTGATCAGGAGTTTGGATTGGCTAGGATTACACAGTGCTCAGCTATGAGCCGCTTCTCTGCCAACCAAAGAACAAAGGAAGACAAAACGATTGTAGATGGACTGACCCAAATGAAAGAGCCTCTCAGCCAGCCTGGAGGACAGTGAAATGGGACATAATCGAGGCGAGACAGTCCTGCCAACAGCCTGATCCAGATGAAAACTCGCAACGGAGAGAAAGGAAAACCAAGCCAAACTCAAACATGTGTTATGCTGTAGCTGGACATACCCAGTGTCCCATTAATACTCCATGGAAATAAAAGCCTAATTAAAACAATTGGTTGCCAGACAGGTTAAAAAAATACCTTTGAAAACTATTAAATATATAGATTGTATTTCCTAAAAACAATATATTAAGTCACATCTTTAAGAGAGATGAATGTATGGGGTGATCTTCGGCGCCCTGAAAGCCATGTGGTTGTTGGGATCCCACAGTTGAGAAGTTGGGGGGGGGGGAGGTGGACATCTGTCACCCCCATCAGAACGTGGAAATGCTATAAGCATTGTCGGTTGCTCTGCCTCCAATGCAACCTGTAAATCACTCACTCAGCACCAGGATTAGCCGTGTGGCATGAACTGCTCTCTCAGACCGCTCTCCTATTGACATGATCATCAGTGACTTCTGCAGCGTGCACGTGATCGTACGGCATGACAGTAGCAATTATTGCCTTTCTTCACATTAGATTATTGCATTCAATCCTCTTCAACTCGTCAGTATGTCCCAAGGCCTGTACATGGAGATGACCAGTCCCACCGTGACCTCCCTGCAGCTCTATCGCTTTCTCCCCCACTTGCCTGTTGTTTCCTAACGGGGGAGCTATAACAGAAAACGGAAGGTCTATTGAGGCCGTTATCTGGAGCTTTAGAACAGCAATAAAGCACGAGGGCAAGGCAGAAGATTGGTTTCATCAGCAAAGAAACCCAGAAGGCCTCTTGGAGGGGAATTTTGTTGTTCAAATGAGAGACTCTCTCTTTTAGCAGCTGAGCACGTTTTATACCTGGGATTCCTGCACTGTCACACACCCCCAGTGAAATGCATCCAACGGGATTTCTTAAAGGCCCACAGTCCATTTTAGCATCTACAAATTAACTCTACCGGGTGGTAGAACATGACCCCCCTCTGGGTTTTGCTGCAGCAATGGTGGGGTGGGAGCAGGAAGGTTATCTGGTTCGGACATTATTTGTTGCTACAGAAGGTAATAGCTTTTCCCAAGAGCTGCATGATGGCTTCCATGTCCCCTTGCCAGAAGATCACCTGGGTGAATTCAGCCCGTCGTCCTCATGCTATAAGAGCAAATCAGCAAGGGTGGTGCCTTGACGCCATCCAGCAGCTTTAAGCACCTGTGCCTCTGCTTGCTTCTTCACGGTTTCCGTTAAGTGACATGCCTGTCAGAGCCACTCCCTCCTCGGGGTCCTGCAGGCCATCTACAAGGAGCAGGGAAAGGGAGACACAGCACGGTCACTGAGGAAGATGCATACAGGAGTCCCGGTTTTCAACACTCATTTTATGCAAATTGTGACTCATTTTAATTAAGGATCAAGGTTGAAGTAATAAATGAACCATAAATTGGAGGCTTTTCATAATCGGCTCCAATTTGGGGCATTCTGGCAGCATACAGGATTTTAAACTAACACCAGAAGGTGACTCACCTTGCCCGCTCGTGGCGGGTCCCAATTCTGGAATCTGATCCACACAAACAACCCCCATTCCCGTGTGATGCCTCATCAACTTCCATTGGACTCCACACGGGCAAGAGGGTCCGTCTGTCTGAAATCGATTGCAGGACCAGGGCCTTGAATGTTTATTGGACTGGATTTTCTTGCCACCACAATTTTCAATGGAGCAAATGCCCTTTCTGTACCAAACGTTTCACAAACTGGGCATTTCAGTGATTTGCCCACGTAGGCTCCTGTTTAATCTGAAGCCCCCAGTTGCACCCCTGTCACATAACGAATTATTATAACAAGAGGGTTCTCCACGTGGGGTGTCCTCCTCACCATTGGTCATGGATCAGTTTGGAAATTAGCAAGGCAAAAGATACATTTACTATGAATAAAGGTATTATTCAGGACTCCTCCCGAAGCAGTCTGTAGCCTCTGGCCAACGGTGCCCCTGCAGAAAGGGGATCATTGCTCGGAAATGCAAGAATTGCGGGAACAGTATTTGAAACTGCATTTCCAAAGAACCTCAAGAGTGATCTGGAGTAGGGCTCTAAGTCATTATTTAGAAAGAGGGATACGTTCTGTGTCCGGCCTTGTCTACACTAGACAGTGGCATAGTTATACCAGCAACCCTTCCTAGTGGAGATGCAGCTTATACCAGCAAAAGAGTTCTTTAGCTGGTATAGTTTACACCAGTTCGGTGAACAAAATAAATCATCTATACCAGCAAAAGGACCCCGTTGGCAGTATAACTGCATCTACACTAGGGCTTTTGCCAGCACAGCTATGTCAGTTAGAGGTGTGAATTTTTTCACACTCTTAAATGACGTCACTTTGCCAGGAAAACTTAAGTGTAGACCAAGTTTCAGCTACACCCATAGAAGTCCACTGACTTCAGTGACACTACATGTGTAAATAACGAGAGAACTGGGCCCACTGAGTTTTAATTGGACCAGATAAAACACCTAAGAGATGCTGGCAAAGCACCTACCAACACAAGGTCCTTTGCTACTGCAATAAAGACAAGGGATGGGAGAGGTAATGAGTCAGACCCAGCAGGGCGAGAGAGAACTGGAACATTCATGGTGGTGAGACGGTGAGAGACTGAAAAAAGCGGGTGGGCAGAACAGGGGTGGGTGTGAGTTTAGAAGTCCAGGAGGGTACAGATGCACATGTAGCAGGGGGTGCCTGCCTTGGGGCTGTGCAAGTAGCTGCCACACACAGCAATTAGCATCTTCAAAGTGCTGCGAGTGGTGCGGCCCAGTTAGCGATTTGTAGTTCAGACATCTTCTGGCAAATCCATTGCCACTCCACTGCCACATTACAACCAACACTGCGTGCAGGCCACTGCAGTGAGCACAGGCAGATAGAGGGACCCAGCAATGTGCTCATAAAATACCGGGGCAAGACAACACTAAAAGAAACATCTCAGCCAGCATGCTACAGGGATTGTCTCTCAGCATTTGGATGTTGTGGGGATGGCTGTGCCTATGGTGTTATATGTGCTGCCACCAGAGGATAGATTCCAGGGGCAGTTAGTACTGATGCATCAGCCCGTGCATACTGAGAAGATGTTCTCCCTAAGGAAGCCAGCCCACATTAGGCTTGGGAATCAAAGCCTGCTGGGGTTTCACTAGAAAAGGACCATAGGCCAGACCTTGTGGCTTAGTGGGAGCACTCGGCATCATCATAGGGGAGATTCAGGTTCCAAGGCTTCTCCCAATCGACCATTCCTTAGACTGGAAAGATCTGGGAATGCTGCCGGGGAAAAAAAACAGGGTTGCCGCACATCATAAGATACAACTGTCCTGCTAGGAGCCCACTGCTGGACATGTGGAGAACACAAGCACCTCAAGGGAGCTGAGCATACCCTCATGAAGGTTGTTGGCAGCATTAGCCGATCGGCCTCTTCTCCGGCTCCTCCTGCCCCAGGGGACGCACCGCAGGAGGGAGGGGAATCTCCGCTTCTCTCTCTCCTCCCCACCTTGGAAATAAAAGAGCACGGGGAGTTATCAGCAAGAGACAGGGCTTTCTCAAGTCCTTGCTGGCAAAAGGGGGACCTGCCTTATTCTGGGTCACGTATAGTACGGCTGTTCCCTGCTGGCAGACAGTGGTACCCCATGCTCCTCAACCTTGGGGTGTTGGAAATTTGGGCCTCTAGATAGAACTCACCATGTGAAATCATTAAACGGTACCCAGAAATCCATTCCTCCCCTGTTGAAAATTCTTACCTAGAGTGGACACATTCAGAATAAGCACTATTTGTCCACGCTTTCTTGCTGCCAAGAATTTCCTTAACGATTTTCACTAACAGTTGGGTTTGGATGGGTTTTGTATTTGCTTCAATGAGAGGACTGTTGGCAGCCTCAGGAGGCACAGCAAGGAAGCTGGCACGGATTTGCTCGTGCACACACACAGAGCAGCTGTGAGAACTAAAACATAAATGAAGAGAGAAGGCAGGCAGAAACCTCACATCCTGCATCAGGGCCTCGGCCCCAGACACTTATATTATTGCTTCCTATTGATTGACTAGTTCTCCCCTCCCAGGGAGACCTGCTGGAAATAGATTTGTATTGTACTTGACAATGCCGTAGAATCTGCATAAGGAAAAGAACACTCCAGTGGAAGGTGAGTTACTATTAGATCTCGAGCCATTACTGTAAAATACTAGGTTTCAGAGGGGTAGCCGTGTTAGTCTGTATCAGCAAAAACAAGAGGAGTCCTTGTGGCACCTTAGAAACTAACAAATTTATTTGGGCATAAGCTTTCGTGGGCTAATTCACAGGAGTCAAGACTATTGGGGGGCTGTCTGTAAGCAAGGACTGGCCCGTCTCACAAGGTCTGTGAGAGTGAGGGATCGTCCTTCAGGATAGGTTGTAGATCCTTGATGATGCGCTGGAGAGGTTTTAGCTGGGGGCTGTAGGTGACAGCTAGTGGCGTTCTGTTACTTTCTTTGTTGGGCCTGTCCTGTAGTAGGTGACTTCTGGGTACCAGAGCCCCTTCTTGTCAACTGTTGGAAATGGGCCACATCTACCCTAATTGAATTGGCCTCGTTAGCACTGACTCCCCACTTGGTAAGGCAACTCCCATCTTTTCATGTGCTGTATATTTATACCTGCTACTGTATTTTCCACTCCAGGCATCTGATGAAGCGGGTTATAGTCCACGGAAGCTTATGCCCAAATAAATTTGTTAGTCTCTAAGGTGCCACAAGGACGCCTCGTTGTTTTTGTAAAATACTAGGGTATTAGACAAGGGTAGTTTTACTCTCACACAGCCTCACGTAACAAACAGATTATTGCAGCAATCGGGTATCCCCAAATCCTAAAATATGCAATATCTCATCCACCAATCAAACCTTATCTCCAAGAAACAAAAAGTTATCAGCCGCTTTAGCAGTGACTCTCCTTACTAAGGCAATCAATCTTATGCAACATTAAGCCGCACAAAGTGATCCTCTTGACCAACAAAACAAATCCCTCAATAAAATAATTTTTACAACATGACTGTTCCCCCCTTTTAGTCCCTAGTGAACATAGATGAATGTCATGCTCAGGGAAAGCAGGTTAGCACAGTAGCATTTCCCCTCTTAGCGCTTGGGTGCACGATCTAGTTAAGGCAGTAAGTGTAAGTGGATATCCATTGTCTCCAGCCACATCTGACTTGGTCTGCACTTAAAACTGTTACCAGTGTTGCTGCATTGGTCAGGTAGTGTTCAATGTGTCCGGGATCACTTTATCGCGTCTCATCTGGACGCGATAAATCGATCCGCGAATCGACGCCCGTACTCCACCTCGGCAGGAGGAGTAAGCGGAGTCGACGGGGGAGCCGCGGCAGTCGACTCGCCGCCGTGAGGACGGCCAGGTAAGTTGAACTAAGATACTTAGACTTCAGCTACGCGAATAGCATCGTTGAAGTTGCGTAGCTTAGTTCAAACACCCCCCCACCCCCGCTACTGTAGCCCAGGCCTAAGACAAGTACTGTCAAAAAGGGATGGGAGCTCCAGGGGTGTGGAGGAGGGGTTGAACTGCCATTTGTTTGCACATAAACACGCAGATGAGGTACTGGTATAACTACACCAGTTAGGGGTATGATCATCTAGCAAAGTGTTTTGACCTGTATCGCCCCTAAGGGGGATGTAGTTATATGGAATAAACTATACCGGAATCTTTATACTAATGTAAACGTGGCTACATGTACACTACAGACTTCGGCCAGCCTAGCTACTTTGGTGAAGGGTGTGATAAGACATCATTTGTGACTGATGCAGCTGTGCAGGCAAAAGCCCCTAGAGTAGATGCAGTTATATTGGCAACACCAAGCTTCTGAGTATGCTGCTTGTTTCGCTCCGGGAGAACCAGAGTGTGAGCGGCTGGAAAACGCTGCACCAGGAAAAGCACAGTTACGCCATGTGACGTTCTGAGTGTAATATAATAGCTCATTGAAAGGTGACAGGGCCAGAAAGAGTTAATTACCTCCCAGACTGACCTGACCCATGGCCGAACTTTAAAGACTAGTTAGGAAGATCTGTAAATGAACAGCGCTGTGAAATGCAGCCTGCATTGTTGGAGATAGAAGGGGAGCTGTTTGCTCAGGTCTTGTGATGTAAGCAAACAAGTCTAGTCTATTACTATGGCTTTGATTCAAAGATCAAAAAAGGAGTATTAACATTTAGGAAGACACTTGAGTGAAATAGTATTATTGTCTCTATGTCTCTTTGAAGGTTGTGGTAACCTGTATCTGAACTGTTTAATGGATAAATTACCCTGTGCTAATTGCCAGGATGTTTGGGAGACAAAGTTAAGCCTATTGTTTTCTCAGGCCAAGAGGCTGCTGGAAATGTATAAAAACCCTGGGTATGAAAAATCTTTCTTCATCTCAGATCTGCTTTGAGTTTCAAGAAGGGGAAACCCTAAGCCATAAGAATTGAGATCCCCAGTCACTGACCGGAGTCACCCTGAATATGGACATTTAGAAATAGTCCACAGGTTATAGTCCAAAGGACTTTTGGCAACTACCTGAACCTCAAGAATTGAATTTAAGTCTGTATGTATATTGATCTTTTAACCAACACACTCTCTCTTTTCTTTTTTAATAAACTTTAGTTTAGTTAATAAGAATTGGTTATACGCGTGTATTTTGGGTAAGATTTAAGTTATCATTTGACCCGGCTCTGGGGCTTGGTCCTTTGGGATCGGGAGAACCTTTTTTCTTTTATTGGGGTATTGGTTTTCATAACCAGTCGTCCCCATAAGGAGCAGTGCTGGTGGCAATACTGGGAAACTGGAATGTCTAAGGCAGGAGTGGTTAACCTAAGCCTGAGAAGGATCCAGAATTTACCAATGTACATTGCCAAAGAGCCGCAGTGATACGTCAGCAGAACCCCATCCCCTCCCCAGTGCCTCCCACCAGCCCCCAACAATCAGCACTTCCTCCCGCAAACCTCCCCCCCCCCCCCCCCCCCCCCAAACACCCTTTTCCCAAGCGCAGGAGGCTATGGGGGGGAAGGGGGAGGAGCGAGGGCATGGCAGGCTCGGGGGAAGGGGTGGAGTGGGGGCAGGGCTTGGGGCAGAACAGGGGGTTGAGCAGTGAGCACCCCCCAGCACATTGGGAAGTTAGCATCTATAGCTCCAGCCCCGGAATCCGGAATCCGTGCCTATATAAGGAGCTGCATATTAACCTCTGAACGGCTCCAGAGCCACGGGTTGGCCACCCCTGGTCTAAGGGAATTACTTGTGTGACTTATGGTTAGCCAGTGGGGTAAAGCCAAAGTCTCTCTGGCTGGTTTGGTGTCTTAATAATAAAGACACCCAGCTTTGGGCTGTAACTGCCCTGCTGTAAGCAATTTGTCCTGAATCGATACTCTCAGTTGTGTCGTTACATGCCGGTATAATCCGCATCCGGACTAGGAGCGCCCTGCTGATATAACATAGCAGTGTACCTATACTGGTAAGGCTCCCTTTGTAGACACGACCTGCATCCACACTTGTACTGCTTTAATTATACCGGTCTAGTAAACCCAGAACTTGTGCCAAGCCCCAAGATCATGCTGCTGAGACAGAAGTGGGTTCAAGACCATAGCACCAATCAGCTGTAACCAGTGGTGTTCCTCACAGCTATGAATTATTATAATACATTTATACCCGCAGTGCTGTCTTGTGCGGTGATCCCATCAGACCTAAGAACTGAGCAGTCAGGATGGGTCAGTATTGGGCTGGGAAACCCTCCGGGATACCGTAAAACAGGGGCACCTGGGGCTATGCAGGTGGCACTGTTTCTTCTGAACCCATGCCCCAGCCAGGAAAGCTGTGCTACTGGCATGGGATCATTCCCAGGGCGTTCACCGAAGGAACGCGGGGTTGGCTCTGGGGCGCTTGCCCAATTCCAACTCAGGGAGCCACATTCCCCTTGCAACTCCCAGGGCCTTTTGCTTCCCTTACCCCCACCCAAGTACTGCTGCGGGTCCAGGGAGACCCACCGCCTCCCAGCCATGGGTGGCTGCCCCACTGTGTCATCTGCAAGAGGCTGGGGGCTGGTGGGGACAGGCAGAATCAGCGCTAGTGGATGCCAACCGGTGCGGACACAGACAGGGGAATGGGGCAGCAAATGGCAACCAGAAGCAAGACAGAAACCGACGCCCCCAGCATGATCTCTCCCCGCTCCCCGCCCCCGTACCTGCTCGGTGCTGCAGGGCCGCTCGCAGGGCTCGGCAGGCGGCTCGCCGCACCTCCAGCGTCCCGTCCAGGCGGCCGGGGCTGTAGGCGGCCGCTTGCACCGTGTCCTGCAGCCCGGCCCGGTGCTCCTGGAAGACCTCGCCCAGCAGCGTCTCCAGCAGCGCCGCCGCCGCCGCCTCCTCGCCGGGGCCGGGCTGCACGATCACCCCCACCAGGGCGGCCGGCGGGCCCCGGGGCAGGCGGCTCCGCAGGTCCCGCGCGATCTCCCGCAGGCGGGCCCGGGCTCGCCGCGGCTGCAAGGAGCCGGCCCGGCACAGCAGGAAGATGAGCGGCGAGCGGATCTCCCGGCCGGCGCCGCCGGGGCCGAGGCACACCCGGACCTGGGGAGGCGGCTTCCCCCCGCCGCCCGCCGGGCCCCCGGGCTGCTTCCC